GAACCCAGACTACTTCGCGTTACTTTGAAGGATGAGAAAGACGTCAAGAACGTTCTTCTTTCCAGTCACCTTCTTGGCAAAGTTTCGAGTCGTATAAGAATACTTCCTGATCGACCGTGTGCGCCATCGCACGAACCCGGTAGATGCACGCGAGTCGGAAAATAAACGATTTATATTGATTCACGGAGTCCCGAAATTAAACGATCCAGACGAATCCACATGTCAACAAAACGATTGTAAAGAGTGGAGGTTTATTCAGGAGTTGATTGGATGCCATAACTTTTTCCCTACCTCAATCAGTCGACTTCCGTGTTCAGCAAACTACCGTGGAAACCGCCCGAGAACTATGAAACTCTCAGTACCCAGGAAATGGTCACATCAGTCTTGCATGCATGGTATCAAAACAGAAGACGGCCACCAGAGTTACGCCTCAGACCACTGTTGAATAATGAGGTAAAACGATGTCCACAGTTAGTAAACCAAACTCCACTTTTTCGGGAGATCACAGCAGCAGAACCGATTCCCCAAAAAAATACTAATAGCCGACCGCAGAATGATTGGCATAAACAACGAATCAAAACCCAACGGATTCCTAAACGGACGCTCCCTAGCTTCTTTCTACACAAACACACAAGGCTTTCTTAGCAAACTCCCTGAGGTTCAAATGCGCTTACAAACTGGTCAGTGGGATCTTGTTGCTATTACCGAAACTTGGTTGACTGCCGATATTCTCGATTCGGAATTTCACCTGCTCGGAATGTCGCTGCTGAGGCGTGATCGTTCCACACGAGGTGGCGGTGTGCTGCTATATTTCCGCAGCAACCTTCAATGTGAACCATTCGATCTCTTCAATGCAGCCCCCGACACACTTTGGTGCACAATGAAACTGTCCAAAGATAGTAATTGTTTGATAGGTGTAGTCCACCACCCTCCTCCATCTTCAGACTTAGCTAACGCGGCACTCGTGCAGACTATGAGAAACGCTATCTTAGTGCACTCATGTTCTCATAATGGGGGACTTCAATTGTCCCAATTTTATAAAAGCCAGAACTATCACCACCCTTTCGAGCGAAGCGTATAACAGTTTATAGACTCACATCCGATGTATAATCACGTGAAGAATCCCACCAGATTTGGAACAGGCCTCCAACCATCAACATGGGACTTGGTATTGACAAGCGAGGAGCTTATGGTCGAAGTAACGTCTTCATTAGGACGAAGCGATCACGCAGTTCTGCTTTTCGATTACATTTACCACGCCTCAATAGAAATATGTCTGAAAACCAACACACGCACAGTTATTGACCACAATGAATTATTGAACCTTACTGCTGTCAAACAATTGACACAACCAGAAGAGCAGCTAGATCCACTGGAGTCCTGGAAAAGATTCATTGAAACACTAACAGAACTCATAACAGTCGCCACGAAAACCAAACCTGTCGGTGCGTTGCCTACACGATTATCACCTATCCGTAGTCGAACCAAGAAATGGATGTCACAGAAGATTCTCTCCTGGAGAGAGTTCAGAAGATATCCGACCGCCGACACTTGGGATAACTATATCTTGTTGAGAAATCTTTGCGTAAAATTAGTGCGAGAGGATAAACGAAGGTTTCAAGAAACTTTGGCACATAAATGTATTACTAATCCAAAGCTACTGTATAAGCATACCAATGCTACCAGAAAAATGAAATATGGAATACCGGCACTAAGGCCTGCAGGACGCGTTTCCACTACTACTGCTGAAGCAGCCGAATTCCTAAAATTCTAGTTCTACAAAGTATTTACTGCAGGTAACACAGGCGGATTACAGCTTCCACACCTTCTACCAAATGTCTCATACCCCCAACTGACCACCGTCACGTTCAAATCTGAAACTGTTGGCGATGCGCCGGAATTCATCACCGGGAGAAGAAAACATCCGGCCACAGACCCTGACGTCCTTGGCAAATTACATATCTGAAATAATTACCCATTTATACCAAAGAATGTTCGACAAGATGAAGATCCCTCAATCCTGGAAACACGGCATCACTTCACCTATTTACAAAGGTGGCTGTAGAAGTGATCCTGCAAACTACCGTCCAGTTACACTTCTTCCTGTTCTGTCAAAAGTAATGGAATCGAATGTTACTGATTCTTTTATGGATCATTTCGAGAAGCGTAACATACTTTCGCCGGCCCAACACGGGTTTCGAAGGAAACGTTCGTGCACCACAAACCTGCTGCATGCACGAGATGAATGGACAAAATCCGTCGACGCAGGAGAAGCAGACGATGTAGTCTACTTAGACTTCGCCAAAGCTTTTGACAGGTTTAACCATCATATACTGCTGCGAAAGCTCCATAAGTACGGTGTCCGAGGGCTGCTACTGGAGTGGATTGAGGAATTTCTTCGACAACGCACCGTATCGGTTTGAGTTAATGGTTCACTGTCGGGACCGATTGAGGCTGTCTGTGGAGTTCCACACGGATCCGTACTCGGTCCGCACCTTTTCTTAGCATTCATAAGCGACCTACCAGATATCCTTGGGGAAGACATTATTATTCGCTGATGACGCCAAAACATGGAGGACGGTAAAATATCCCGATGATTATGAAACCTCACAGGAAACTCTCGATGCAGCCCACCGATGGTCCATCGTTAATGATATCGAATTCAACGTTGAAAAATTCAAGGTTGTATCGCTGCGTCACAAGGGTCGCTTTCCATACTTACTTGGAACTCAACCATTACCGCGTTCTCCAAACGAAAAGGACCTGGGAGTTATCGTTCATGAGGATCTCGGATGTTCCACACCGTGCGCAAGAGTGTCTTCAAAGGCTACGAAACACGTTGGATTGCTAAAACGTGTTTTTTGATCATTTGAAATAGACCTATTGCCTCGTTTATTATCAGCATACATTAGACCACACACTGAGTATGCCATACAGGCTTGGAATTCATGGTTGATTCGCGACCAAAAGGCACTTGAACGTCCGCAGAGAACAGCAACCAAAATGGTCAAAGGGTTAAAATCTAAGACCTACCGTGAAAGACTGCGAATTCTCGGACTCTGTCGTCGGACGTCTGTCGCAGGCCCATTATTCCGATTTTCTTCGGCTCAGAAAACAGCTCTATATTCTGGCACGGTTTCCCCCTGCAGGATGCGGCGGACATGAAATATATATTAGGACACATGCAAAGTAACAGCTGAAGCCGAGTTCACC